GACTACCCAATATGATCGGCAAGAGAACGAAGGAGAGAGGCAGAGAGAGAGAGCGAGAATGAGAATGAGAGTGGCCAGGTAATTGTATATAAGATAATCAGCATGAAGTTGGCAGCCGAAATGTGCGTTTCTCACCACTACGGGGGCTCCCAAGGTGAAACCACTCAACTGGTCGGACTATGGAGTGAGAGCACGCGAATCGATTCAAGTTGGGTCTGTCTCTATAGTGTCTGGTAGTTGGTAGCTGTCCGCTGGTTGCTGGTTGTTGGTTGTTGGTCGTCTCTGGGTCTCTGGTTACTGCCTGTGCGTGCTTCATTCGTTTCGTTTGGGTATTGTATGTGTGTGTGTGTGTTTGTAGTATTATTTTGTGCATGTGGTCCGCCTCCAGATAACGAGCGACGACGATGTGGCGATGACGATGACGCCAACCAAATGCCGTCGAGCTCTATATATTTATACGTATGTATATATGTGTGTATTTGAGCAGCGCCATGAAATCGAGGCAAAGCGAAACCAAAAGCAGCACCAGGCACAAAACGCGTACAATGTGCGGGCGACAGAGCAACAACAACCACGATGATGATGACGATGACTACTACGACGACGACGACAACGACTACGCTGCTGACGAGCTGCCGGGGGCGCAGGCCAAAACGTCTGTCGAATCGCGTCGAGTCGTCGTCGAGCAGACGGCAACGGCAACGGCAATGGCACTGGCATCCATTTTGTTGCCAACGTACGCGAGACCGAAAGAAAAGTGGATGACGACGACTGGGGCCTGACAGGCAGCCAGCCAGCAAGCCAACCAGCCTGCCCATGCTTGCCTGACTGACTTTCTGGCTGGATGGTTGGTTAGGCTGGCTTGCCTGCCTGCAAAACGAAAGAATCAATAACTGAGCCGCCCCGCTCGAGTACAGTGAAGTCCACCATGGCCAGGCCAGAAAAGAGCGCAAGAACGCAGTTTCATTTCATTCAACACCCTTTTTATTTGCCTGCACTGCTTTATGTGCTCTGCTTTTGTGCCCAGAGGTGCCACCGGATATCATCGCACATTGACGATGGCTACGACTCCAGGAACGAGGAGCCAGTCAAGCATGTTGCGGACCGGGGACCACGACCATAAAGCGTGCGAATGAAGGACACACACATACACAAACACACCCATCACCAAGCAGCACAAAAGAGAACGCGAGCAAGAGCGCGCTAAAAAACTGTGAGAGAGAGCGTGCTCAGGGCTTAGGGCACAGGGCTCAACGCAAAGGGCACACCATTTGGACGGCACATAGAGCGAGAGCCATTTGGCCAATTGATGAAATATTGTATGGACTATGTAGATGTATATATCCATATATATATATTTGTATGGATGATTAAGTAAACAAAATGTTGCCACCCGATTCAAATTCCCAGTTAGCAGCTGCTCTGAAAGATTTGGTGACCACATCCGAATTCACGTTATACAACGCGGACGTGGGTCTGCAGCTATGTGTTGGAAATTCCCTGGAAGCGACAACAGCAACTACAACAACAACAACACCAATAGCGGCAACAAGATATCAGCAATGAAGCAGCAAATACAAAATTATATGTAATTGCCTGCTGGTTCGCTCGTTCGTTCGTTGGTCGGTTGGTCGTTTGGTTGGCTGCTGTGCCTGCCTAGCGATATGAAACGACGACCCAAAACCCAGCGCACACTCACACACACACACACATACACAAAGGCAGATTCTCATACACAGAAACACACACACACACATAGAAACAGGCGCACCGTGTGGTTTGTGGCCCTCGCTTCAGATTCCGATTCCCCCGATGCTGATGATGATGATGATGAGACGCGACGACGACGGCGACGGCGGCCTCGATTACTTTTGTTGCCTCGTCGCCATCGACGCTGCTGCTCATTGCGCTCTACGCTTTGTGCCTGCATTCGTTGTGCGAGTTTTTTAAGCTCCCCTCTTTGTGGTGTATATTCGTCGTTCAAATTTGTTGCCGGGGTTGCTAATGAAAAATATAAATAAGAAGAAGCAGCAGCAAATGCACGTAAACAATAAAGGTTACAAGATGGAACAAAAGATTGGGAACATCAACAATGTACTTATGCATACACTAGTGTATGTATGTATTATCTGCTAAATGAAAACATCAAAGATATCAAATTCGCATCTGTCCAAAGCAATTCTGAATTATTAAAGACTCCTGAAGGTACTCCTCCGACACCATTTAGATTTTTATTTTTGAATCCATTTACTAAGTCATATATATGTGGGTGAAGTATATGTGCAAATAATCGCTAAATACACCATATCGCATTTACAAAATATTTTCAATAGATGTTTCAATTTTTCAAAACAACTGAAGTTCTTTGCTTGAGAAGCGCAGAGGGCGTTTAAAATAACTCGTCTTGATTCTTAACACTTACACGAGTAGAGTTCTAGGAATATCATTTATTATTTTGATCTCTTAAATCAATTAGAAATGTATTGCCAGGTACTGCTGTGTGCTGCGCGGGTCGAGGGGCTCAGTTTGTTTACATTTTGCGAATGAATCTATTTAAAATATAATATATTCTACAACAACCCATTAATAAATATTATTATTCATACATATGTACATGCATTCATATACAATTCTGTTTATGTTTATTATTATCTATACTTATTCATGTTTTAATAAAATGATAAAATCTCTGTAGAAGCTGAAGTTTCTTTTTAAAAATGAATCATAAATGCGAATATATAGCTTTAATAATTCGTTGTTAATTCGAGAGTTAATTTTTCCTCTAAAGGTTTAGCTTTGTTTAAACAAAAACAAAAATAAATAATGTCAATTGCACATGAATCAATAAATAATAAAAATAAATTAAATTAACTTTAAACCAAGCTGAATTTCGGTTAAATATACATACTTGTACTACATTTTAAATATACATTTTTTATTCAGTTACAATTGTGAGTGTTTTTCTTATCTTCAAAGTTTGGCAAATATATTCAAATAAAAAATTATGCAGAATATACGGGTTTCTTTTTAAATCAAAATGGGATTTCTTTAAAAAGTACATTAGCGGAAGCATTGGCTGTAATACCCATTTTAACCAATAAAATCAAATATATTGCAACAACAAAATCAACCCAAAAGAGCTGTTATTTCTTTCTAACCTAAAACCGCAAAACGAACATGGCCTTGTCCACATACAGACTTAAATATTACAACAACAATGTGTACATTGCTCGCCGCTTGACAAGAACATGGAAATCCGGGGCTCAGTGTTTGCGTTTTTGGATACTGAAAATGAACAAATAGACGACGACGACACCAGCTGTGACTCAACAAACAGCAAGCAAAAGAGCAAGCGAAAGAACAGCAGCAGCAACAGTAACAACAACAATGAGGCAGGGCACGAAATGGAATCGATTCCACACAAAGCTCAGCCAGCTAACCAACCAACCAACTAACCAACAACAACAACAAGCACCAGCACCCATGCCCACTTGAAAGCGACGACGATGACGACGACGACGACGACGTTGATGATAAAACGGCACAACCAACGGGCGAGCGAACGAGCGACCAACCAAGCAGGCAGCCAGCGAACCAGCGAGCTATCGAAGCCAGAGCAGCTGCCATGCCAAACACCAACGTAGCCGCTCGCATAGCCACGAATGACGATGACGATGACGACGTCGGCAATGGCAACAGCAACGGCAACGGCAATGGGAATGGCAAAAGTAAGCGAGCGAATGAGCGACAAAAGCCCCGGTGAGCCAGCAAGCCAGTGAGCCAGCCAGCCACAGGCAATAGTCAAGTTACACCAATACCAATAAAATGAGCCATGGTCGTCGGTCGTATCGTGACTTGGCACTTCAAGCAACGCCAGCAAAGCCGCCAACCGTCGACCAGGCAGGCCCAAGCAACCAAGGCAGGCAGAGGCAGCAGGCAACCAAATGTGAACCCATGCGGACGCTGCGTTTTGCATGAGGAAGAGGGATGGGCAACAGATGAGAAGAGATGAGACGAGACAAGAAGATTGTGGAATGGAACGATAGAAACAGAGGTAGAGCACAAAAATGAAACGTTTGCTCGCGCGCGCTCTGGTGGCCCGCTCTGTTCGCTGGCCGAAATGAATGAATGACTGACTGGCTGACTGAATAACTGACGAACTGACTCGTTGTTTGGCTGGGTTGCTTGGTCTGGTCGTCATCCGCTTGCACAATCATCAAATGGCGGGGCTGCTGCTTCTGTTGCCACAACTCACTGATGAGGCGATTTTGTTTTAACGCTTCGAGCCTAACCTCACTTTTTCATCGGGTTCGCTTGATTGCGTACCACGAAACATATAAACACACCCACACACACTCAGAAACGCATATATGTACATGAAAAATGTCAGGAACATCAATTCCTGAAATTTGTATAACGGATATTCTACATTATATGTAATGCCTATCTATCTATCCATATACATTGTATTAATATATGTATGTACATATGTATTGACCAGTCCAGCCAACCATGCGAGTCAACGTGTGTGTGTATGTATACGTGTAGGTGGTAATGGTTCCACCGAATCCACCACTACATAGGCGCTCAGAGCAGCAGTAGCAGAAGCGTCGATGACGACGACGACAGCGCGACAAAGCGAGCGACGACAACAACAACAATGAGAAGAGCAGAGAAACGGCCACGACGAACCGACCACACGAGATATCATGCGACACAATCACAAGTGGATGAATAAGATGGCCGCCGCCATGGATGGCACAACTCTCGTCGGGTGTGGCTGCCTGCTCCTCGATTGCCTCTGCCAGTGCGCCAGTGCCAGTGCTCCGCATTGAAATATTTGTAGTGTGTATAACGGTTTCTGTAGTCGTCGTCATCATCGTCGTCGTTGTGGGTTTGGGCCATAGACAGGTAGACACATACACGCACATTCACAGTGACACACTCACACACACACACACACACATATAGACATGCAGGTCAGGCGCTACTCAACTCACCTTGATATTAACGCAGTTCTGTATTTTTGTATGCAACGGTTCCTTATCGGCGGCATAGCTATTGATGATCGAAATGCATTCGGTTGCGGGGGCAATGCAAAGTCGGCAACAATTTTGTCGCGCCCCGAGCTGATCCGTTGTCGTCGTCGCTGATGCTGAAGAAGTCGCCGTTACTGAGGTTGATGTGGCTGTGGCAGCTGTGGCGGCGGTGCTGACGCCAGAGTCGCACATTTTTGCACCGCACACACACAAACACACTCAATTCACTTTTTGTTTTTCTTAATTTTTGTTTCTTCTTTTTTGTTGTTGTTGCTGTTATGTTGCACGTTTTCACTTTTATTTGCGAGTGGCGGTGGCGTTGATGAGAAAGGCGCGTGAGCGCTTGTTTTGCCGCTACTTTAGTAAACTGTTTTTCATCGTCCACCACTACTGCGTCGCTTCATAACTCTATTTCGTTCAATTCTTGGATCACTGATGATTTTGAGAATGCCGTTGTCTCTCTCCGGCTGCGTTGCCTGCCCACTTTACGGATTGTGGAGTTTCTGCATGCAAGGCGGACAATATACACAGGAAAAAAAAAATAGAACACTCCAAATTAATTTATGTATCTTGCACGCAACAAAGCTGACGCTCAACGAGAGACTGTCGCTGTCGCCGAGACGGCAAAGAGAGACTGCGACACGATATCACAGGGATGCTTAACTCTGCAATATTCGATTTCTTTGAAAAACAAACATGCAGATATCGTGTGTTGCAACAAAAGGAATCGAATGACTTTCTTGCACTTGCGCTGTATTTTCAGTGAGGTATCGACTCGTAAACTTTTGTGTAAACACTGTCAGACCATCGATAGGCAAGAATCACTAGAGATGTCACAAATGTGCATGGCCTACTAGTTCCTCATCTGTTTTGAAGCGTCATAGTTGTGTAAATAAATTATTTTGTTGTTGGACCATGTCTGCCTCCCAGACAGGCACTCCACGTACTTTGGAGTTGTCCCAAGTGCAGAATGGAGCCGTGGTAGAGTTCAAACGGCCGCAGGTACAACGTAAAAGCAAACCAAAAATTCTGACTGAGGAACGCTACATTGAAGAGATGTCCAAAATTATTCAACGCGATTTCTTTCCGGATTTGGAGAAACTTCGGGCACAAAATGATTATTTGGATGCGGAAGCCCGTCGGGACTTTCTGCAAATGTCCGAAATACGCGCACGCTACAGTTTAGGAAAACTAGCAGGCTGCAGCAGTAGAAGGCAAAACAATCGCAATAATGGTAAGCCAGGCACATGAACTATGGAATGTTTATGTTTACCTATAATTTCTTCATTTTTTATAGCCATGTCACCCGCCACATTTGAAACGCCCATAAGCACAGCTGGGGCCAATGCCACGCCTCGCACTGGTGCGGCGCCAAGCGACACACCCACGCCGCACTCAACCAGCAGCAGGAAAAGCAGCACAAGCACGGCGGAGGGTGGCCCAGATGGTTGTTTTGGAAAGCAACTATCGTTGGATGCGTTTCTGCAGAATTACACTAGCGAGGACAACCAAAGCTTTCAGGAAATCATCGAGACTGCCGACGAGAAGCTGCGCCAGAAATACGCTGTGCTCTACAACCATGAGCAGCTATCAGCGCAACAATTACAGCGTGCTCTGCTCCTGCCAAGCATTGAGCAGCAATTTGATTCACCCGATCCGCAGCGACGCATCGAAACCTGGACATACACGAACAAAAATTCAATCATGTATATTCCGGACGGCGTTGAGATGACAGATGAGGAACGTGTGCAGGCAGCGGATCGTAGGCAAAGCATACAGCACTGTGCCACGAGATTACCGGAAACTCCCAATAATCCTACTTCAACAAAAGCAGTAATCCCTGGCGCTGAACTGACTCCAAATGCAAGCAATACACCTCGCATACGCGGCTTTGAATTGCTGCGTTCCCCATCGCCTCGCCCCGGAGAGGCTTTCTCGCCCATCATGACGTGGGGTGAAATCGATGGCACACCCTTTCGGCTTGATGGTGGCGATACGCCGCTGCGTCCAACATCTGGTCCCTCGTTTCGCATTAGCGAGAACTCTCGTCGTGAAAATATTGCCATAGCTTTAGCCGAGAAAGTAAGCGAAAAGATGCGCACACAAAAGCAGCAGGCACTGAACACGGCAAGACGCAATATTGGCTCGCCATTTGTACGCTCCGGCCGGGATCGACTGGCGAGCATGTCGCCAGCAGCTCAGCGCTTAGCCACAGGTAAATTGGGACTGCGCAGCACACCGCTAATGCTAACACCATCGCCCAGACCCAGAAACAACGTGCTTAAACGAAAGTCAACGACGCCCAGCTTAGTGCGTGCAACACCCAAGATGGTGAAGAGTGGTGGCAGCGTCAGCGACCAGCGGACACCTGCCAATAGCAAAAGCAGCGAGTCGAGCGACAAATGTCCCATTGATACCGGCTCCACAATTACAGACGATCTGCTTAAGATACCCACCAAGCGACGCAGCGCTGCCGCCGATTTCTTCTAGTTTTTTTTATTTGTTCTTCTGTTTCTTCATTTAAAAAACAACGCTGAGCAGGGACCACAAATATTGTATAATATAATATGTATTATAAGACATATTCATTTTTGTTTTGTAGCCCTACTTGGCTTTCTTTAGTTTGAACTCTTTTTGGTTATTAGCCTATCTCTCAGTTTATCAAGAAAAAAATTTTTAATATTAAATTTTGTGTCCAAAAAATAGATCAATAGTCTGAATGCATTTCAAATCATGTATTAAGCTCTTTGTCGCATTCTTTCATGTTATGTGAAGAACATTTTTAGGTATTTATAAGGATGTTTATTTGGTTTGCCCTAATCAGCACTCTTCAGCTAAGATTTTAAAAATATTTTGGAGTTAAAAGAACGGTTGTATTATGATAAATGCAATATTCTTGGAATCGAAGGCGATAGAATAAATAGTGAGTCATTCATGGATAGGGCGACGGATAATTCAGTTAGTCACAAAAAGTTGAAGAATGCTCAATGAAGTCCATTAAAGAATACAAATAAAAATGCAATTTTTAGAAAATTTATTTCACTTCTTAATTAGTATTATTAGATTATAATATTTGTTCCCTGTTCTTTGTGAATGTAGTGGTCCCATTTGTATTTCTCTTAGCTTATTAATTCGCTGGGCACTCTTTAAAATAATTCAGTAATTAAGGATTAATATTTCAGATGAATTGCTGCATAATATTGTTCTATTTTGTAATATCCCGTTAAGAGAGGAGAATGTGGCCAAACTGTTATTCTGTTATAATGGATCCAGTACGTATATCGGAGTTGGGAATTAGTCCCAGTAGTCAACATGATCACCGGACTTGAATTTCTGGGCCTGCAACACATTTAGGAATTTGAGAACCGTCTGCTCTGTGGTGAGCATTGTTTTGGACTCGCGCTGCTGACGAAAAGCGGCAGCCAGCTCCTGATTGTGCGTATCCCGCTGCACCTGCTCCGTCATTTGGGTGTCAATGGCGCCGGGCGCATAGTTCAGAACCAGCGTCTGCTCCGAGGGCTCCTCAACGGCCAGCACCCGGAAGTACATGTCACGTGCCGCCTTTACGGTGCAGTAATAGGCCATAGAAGCGAACGGTTCCACAGCCGCCTTTGTGCTCAGATTGACGATCAGCTTGGGCAATTGTCGAAATACACGCATGAATTCACAATTAAGCGCCACCGTGGAGAAGAAATTGATGTGGTAGTAATGGGTCAGCTCCTTCGTATCGCCAATCTCACGTGCATGCAACGAGATGTCACCCACAGTGCCCGCATTGTGTATGACAATGGCCCGCTTAAAGGTCTCGATGTCCACTCCCTGCAGAGATTGCTTCAGCAGCTCTGCGAAATCCGTTGCCGTTGCTGTGGCCAACTCCAACGTATAGCTGAGCACCTTCAACTTAACGTTGTCCGTTCCCCGGGCCTGTTCAATGGCCGTCTTCGTCTCGTCCAGATGCTGCTGACTGCGTCCGAGGAGCACAACCAAAGAACCCTCTGTCTGCATCTGCTTAGAGAGCTGCAGCGCCATCTCGCGGCCAATGCCTCGTGAGGCGCCGGTTACCAAAAGGAAAGTGCGATCTTGCAAATAATTCATTGCGACAATTGTGGAAATCGCAATGGCAATGGCAATGACAATTTTCACTAAAATCGCGCAAGATTTTCAATGTCAGTGCCGTCAGCTGATTTTCTGGCTATGAAAGCGGCAACAGTTGGCTGGAAACTGACACACAGACACACACACAGAAACAGAATCGGAATCAACAGACGAGACGTTCACTCGACTGAATCATTGGACTGGCTTTTGTTGTTGTGTTGGTGACTGTGGCGCCTATCCAGCAGCTGCCGCCCGGTCGACCTCTTTCCTTCACCGAATTTACAGCTTTTAAGCTCAACCAGTTCATGAGCCCCTCGCCTGCATTCCACCGCTCCAGCAAGCACCTTGTCTTGAGCTTTTGCAGAAGCTTCGATTAAAGGTTATCAGCGCCCCCTTGCTGTTCACCATTTAAATGGTGATTGTTTATTAATTGCCGCACTTATAATCGCACATAAATGCGTTCATAAAACCCAAGTAACTGGCTGGCTTATCAAGCTTCTCTCTCTCTCTCTCTCTTCATCTCGCTGCGCTTTGCTCGCTGTTTCTTGTATTCTTGGCCATCTCATGGCTGTGGAATGCACGATACCAGAGCTTTATCAGCTGAACCAAACACCCCTTCCCAGTTACATCACACACACACACTAATTTTTAACTAAGCTAAATGATTAAACCTCAAAAGGGATCAACAATTTTCACAATCTGAAAGAAAAAAAATTTAAAAATATGTCTGAAGATAAACTGTAAACTAATATTTTCATAATAATAAATACTTTTATTTATTATATATTATTAAGCTAATTTATTAAACCCCGAATAGGAGCAACAATTTTCACATTCTGCATGCAAAATTGTAAGAATCTTTAACCAAAATAACCAACAACAAAAAATAAATTCGTTAACAATAACATTTAATTTCTAGAAACAAATGACAGATCGAAACAAATGCGCACGTTTCATCTTTAAAATATTAAACGATTTTTTTTGGAATTGTACAGTCAAAACAAAAAATTAAAAAAAACTTGCTATAATTTTTGAAAATAGAAACGTTTATAAGAGATATAGTGTGTGACATCCATATTTACTTGTATATATTGCATTTCAAAAATATCCTTTGAAAATAATTCTTATAAAAAATCACCAAAGGCTTAGCTTTGCTTGAGAGGCCTGTGCTCAAAAGTAAATCCCTCAATAGTAGTCGAATTCCTGCAGCTCTTTTGGATTTGCATCGAAACAGATCCTTAAAACAATTTTAATGATTTTAATTTTAACATGAATTTAAATTATTTTAATTTTAAAAGTCATTCCGCCAATTGATTAGTCAATTAGAAATCAAAACAAGTTGCCGGAATAGCAGTGATATTTTACAAATAAATTCATGCGATTAACTCGTTGTTGCGAATTTTGCCTTTTCCCTCCATTCCGAATGAACTCACTTCCCAGTATTTTCACACACAGCAACAGAGACTTGAGCTTGATAATGAGTATTTATATTGCGTCATCAAAAATCAAAAATGAAATGATTTGGGCTTTCCATAATGACTTTGTTATTCAGTTTGTTAGCTATGTTAGGTTATGCTTATCAGTCCAGAAGGTAGACGTCTAAAAATTGGCGGTTTGTCAATTTTATGGCTTGGTCATCGACGTGGCCGTAAATAAATATATAAATAGAATGTACATACTACATACATACGTACATAAGATAAGAATTCAGACAAATATACTCATACTTGTATAACATGTGTATGTTTACTAGGAAGTCCCTTTAAAGAAAAGAAAAAATAAAATTTTTTTTTTGAATTACTGACGTTCCGGATTGGACTCTGTATTCGAGATCAGCTGTTGATAAATAATACAACGAATCCTTAAGGGGCAGGATTTTAAAATGCTACTAATGCATACATATGTATGTACGCCCGATCTTGTATTGCAAAGAATAATTGCAGAGAGAAAGGCTTTGCTAAAAGTCCCCAAATCCCATCAATTTCCCAAATAAAAAATCTGTGCATTGTTTTTTTTTCGGTTTCCGTTTCCGCATTGCCCAGAAGGAGCGCCAGTGTTAGCAACAAAATTTTATTCAAATCCTCCATAATATCGATACTGTCCCCATACAAGAACCACATTATTTTAGCCAAGACATAAACCATTTTCGCAGCCAGATCCACAACCACATTTACAATTCTAGAGCTTGAGTGCGCCAACGTCAACTTGCAGCATGACCATGAAATTGGGCACTGGATCATTGCTACTCATAAAACAAAGGTGTCGTAGTAGTCGACATCGTGTCCGGAAACGAAGGATATTTCCTCGAGTATGTTAATCAGCTTGAGTGCCGCCTGCTGGGGCTGAACGCGTGGCAACGCCAACAATTTCGCATTCACATTCAAACCGGCCAGTGTTACCAAATTTCCGTTGAGGTCGTATTGTTCGACGTGGGTGGCAAAGAGTCCGGGCGCATAATTGAGGACATTTACGCCAGCACGCTGCTCCTCGGAGGCCATGGCACGGAAGTACATGTCGCGCGCCTTCTTGCACGAGCACAACAACGAATTGTGGATCAGTGGACGTAGTTGAAGCGATGATGTTACATTCACGGCCAGCTTCTCGATGCCAGCCAGTGCTGGGCACTGCAGAAAGCGTTGATTGAGCGCCACCGGAGCGTAGAGTTGGCGATGCACATAGGCGGTCCATTCCAATGGGGATTGCGGCTCGAGGAGCGTTTGCGTGGCCACATCATCCTCATTATGCACAATGATGGCGCAATCGAAGCTATTGGCATTGGCTTCATCCTGTTTCAACGCTTCTTCCAGCAACTGGGCCGCATTTTCCTTGACCAGCACGCCGGTGACAAACCGCACAGGAGACGATGTTAAAGAGGACTCGATGTCAGAGTCGGCCAGCTCCGATTCCAGTTTCTTCTGCAGGCTCTGCAACTGCTGCTTATTCTCGTCGAGCAACAACACCAAGGAACCCTGGGCGAAGCGACGGCACAGCTCCAGAGCGAGCGACTGCCCCAAAGCATTGGTGGCGCCGCTCAGGACACAAAACGTACGTTTATTTAAGTCCATTCTTTTTGCTGCCATGTTGAATTGGTTGTTGTGTCTATGTTCTTCCTTCTAGGATTTTTTTGGTTTTCTATTTTTATAAAGGATGCTTTTCCTGTAGCTGCGCTGTGGACGTTCCAAACTCTTGGGACTGTACAAATGTACTGAATAAATGGAAGCGGCTCGTGTAGATTCGCAGTCTGCCAGCTGCTGAGTTTGCTGCTTTTGCTTACAAGTGTCTATAGTATTCCAAATTGATAAGCGAGGCTCATCGATGTAGAAAATGTTGTAGGTGCTGATATTCCTATTGCTTGTTGCTGACGGATCGATCTCTGTTCATTAACATGTGCGGCGATTGAGTATCTGTATCTGAACCGAGCCAGCCACACACTTGCCGTTTTTATAATGCCCATGGCAGATAAGCGACAGATCCAGCATTACGGAGCAGTGAAAGTGAGAGCACGTGCTATGTGGCTGATGGTGATTAAGATGATGATGGCGGCTCCCCAGAGCAAGCCTCAAAAATGTCAACTATTTTTTTTCGCAACCAAACAACCAACCAGTCTGTCTGTTCGTCTGTCTTGCGATGGCATGATTTTTCCGGTTAGACATAGGGGCACCCGTTTATAGCGACGTCAGGTGGGGTCTGATGATACAATTTTTAAGATGACACACAAAGAAGGTATTATAGGAATTACCTCAGTTAATAAAAACCTATACGATTTAGATTTCCAACATACTTGTACTATACAAGCTCAGTTTTTAGCGAAACATTTCGCCGGTGTTTCCGATGTCTTATCGCAATTTCTTTCAATGTTTTTGACCCCTTCAAGCCGGTTTGGGGTCTTAAATAGAGTTGGACAACTCTCGATATTTCTTATGAGCATAACTCTAAGATCTGAGTGGCTTAGGTTTACAAGTTGTGATTTGATTAACTCGTATTAATTATTTATTACTATTATATATACATATATATATTTTTTCATATGTAATGTAGAGTATTTAAGAAGATTTAAGCTTTTTTAAAGTGTATTTACGCCCAAAATAAAAATAATTCATTTTCTCACCAGTTAAACAGTTAAACCAATCCTGTGAATACTACTTGAAAGCCATTACATATACAAGTACCGCGAAGAATTCATGAAGGATTCAGGCCCTTAAGGTAAATACCGAGATATTAAGATTGATTCGTGAGATATAGCCTTGAACCGTTACCAAGATCTTGTAAAACTGGCTTCAGAGGAAGCTAGCCAAAGCAGCTCCATGAATGAAATCAGCTTCCATAAAAAAGGGGTATTACATATCAAAAAATTGTATTTGTTTTTTTTTTTTTAATTTTTTAAAAGAATCCACTATATGAACCACCCTATACTGTGCCTTACAACAACAACTTTATCCCTTCTTTATCGATTTTTCTTCCGAAATTATTCTTAATATTTAATTTAGTAGCATGATTGACAATCGCAAAAAAAGCATTGTAATCATCTGAAGCAATATAGCTGTGTTTCGCAAAATCATGATACTATCTATACGCCATTGTCGACTATATGTGTAGAGGGCATGAGTTGCATCTATCTGGACTTTGCCATGCTGACGTACAATTGGTGTGGCGAGACGCAAAAACAGATCGCCAGATGAGATCAATTCGTTCCTGCCCAGGCGCCCAAGCGATAACGAGGCAAACATGATGGCGTAATGGGACATTGTGGCCGCGCCTTCAAGTGTCTTCTATCTCCAAGTACATATAATTGTGTGATGGGTGCCACATAGGACTTCTACGAGTATGCTGCGGTCATCTGACTAATCTGAGCTGTCTAAAGAGAAGCAGCGGGGTAGTAAGATACTATCCTGATTTCGGCCAAAGAGCAGTTAGGCACTATCTGATGAATAATATAGATTTCACACGAATCCATCTCATCCGTTTACCGCGTTTGAAAATTCAGACTCGGACTTTCCCAACGAATCGATTAGCGGAAAACTAATGCTCGAACCTAAATCGAGATGATAAACAACACGTGGATTTGAAAATCAATCTACTTTATTGAACATAATACTTCCAATAATTATGTAATATGAGATGATGATAATAAAATTTCATTCTTAACTTCTTATTCATATTTTATTGGAATAATATGAACCTATTGACTGGTGAGTGCAATGTTTGGCAAAGATTAGTAGGTCACCACCTAATGCCTTAATTCTTCGACCGACTGGATCGAATATAGAACTTTCATAAGCACTTTCTTCATCTCCAAAGAAATTAAAATAATTTGTCAAGGTAAAGGAAGGATATAGTGAATTGAAAAGAATGCCGGCAAAAGCTTGACATATATCTTTCTCTCAGACCGATGCCATTTAGGTCTGCGTTCTTTACCAACATAGTATTAAATAAATGTAATAAGATGACGGTATATGTAATATTCAGATATTTTATGTTTTTATAGAGACTTTGCAATGCCAAAGTGAAAATTCTTTTTGAAGCAGTTAAGACGAAATGCCAGGGGTTATCCTTTTCTATTTTTGAATCATAATCTCAAATTTCACTTCTGCTATGAGCCATTAAGGATTCTGGAGATACATATATATTACCAAAGTCTATTTTGAGAAAACAAATGCTGATGAGTATATTTAAAGTAGTCAGTGGATATTTTATGTTTAAAAGTTAAATCCTTTACAAAGTGGAATGCAAATGCTTTTTAGAAAAGGTAATACAAGGCCTATAAATGACATGTAGCTAAACATACATACTTAGTATGCATGCTAATTTTGTTTTAAATGAACTTTATTTTTTGTATGGCCTGCGTGGCGCAACTGAAATAAAACAGCGTTATAGTGTTTTCCCAATAAGAAGACAAATAATAAATAGACTTGCTAAATTAGGTTGATGGCCTAATTTCGATAACCGGACTCCTCCGGTCTGCCGTTGACGATGCTGACCTAATTGGCTAATCTGTCGCAGCATCTCAGAAGAAATACGAACACTACTTGAGTCAATTCTGGGAGAGGGAGAGACAGAGAGAGATGGGTCGGGAGGTGGGGCATTCATGTTTTGAATGTTTCGCTGCAATATTTTTCATTGTTAACTTCTGGCGATACGAAGTTGTGGAATTCGCGAGCGTCGGCTTTTGTTTATCAACAAATTTTTAGTTGATGTCAACAAGTCAGTGGGGCACACGTCTTTATAGTTAAGTGGTAGTGCAGTAAAAAGTTGCAATGGCCAGTGGGTAGTGCTGCTCTAAAACAATAACAGTCATAGCGCTGATGCTAAAGATCTTGATCTTGATCTTGATCGTGGGTGCAGGTATGATTCTGAAGAAAACTTTCGAGTGAAAGTTCAAATGGCAATGCCTAATACTAAGTTTGTCATTTCGTTCGAATTGCAGCCCCACAATTGTAACTGTAGTTGTCATACGAATATATACATAGATATGTATATTCGTAATGCATCCGATGCATTAAGTAAGAGAACATGAGCCGAGCTTTTTGGCTATAAAACGTGTGGGTTGGTCGAGTGTCGGTTCAAACGTTTAACAACTTTCAAGTGCAAAAGTTCAGAGGCAAGCAAACCACTGACAATATAATAATTATAATAGCAAGAGTGGGATTATCAAAAAAAAAAAAAAAAAAAAAACAGAAAAAAAGAAACAGAGAATAACAACGTATTGTGCGAGAGAGTGTCTAGAGTTGTGCGATTCCATCTTGTTCTCTTACCTCGTTAACAATTGAAACAATGCGCGTTTGTAAATTCCTTCTATGTCTGGGCATAGCGCTGCAGAGCATCCAAGGCGTAAGTTCACAGATCATGTTGGACTCCTTTATTATAGAAGATCCAAGCCGAAAAACTTGTCATCTCAATTAAAATATTCCGTCTTGTTTAAATTCTTTAGCTATTGGCCGCCTGTACTGTTTGCTCGGCCAAGGGCACGGATTTCTGTCAGGGTTGCCAGGGCGCCACAATTGTGCGACCGAAAGTACGTTACTACGAACCCAGCGACATTGCTCTCCCGCCGATTGGTGACAACTGTTGGTGCAGCAAGCAGCTAATAGAGCCCGCCCGTCTACCAAAGACCTGCGGCAAGGTACGTGAACTGTTCCAATGGATGCAATCATTCAATCATTTGCTAAATCGTCGCATGATCGAGGGGGCCATTGAGGCGAAGACTACGGCGGCCCAACGTCTGGCCGAGCGTTTGCAGCGCATGGAGCACATGGATTGCTTGAAGCGGGCACGCAATATTCCCGTCCCTATGCCAGTTGTAATGCCCCCCACCACAGACTATGGCATGGGTATGGGCATGGGAATGGGAATGGGCATGGGTGTGGGAATTTAAAGAGCAGACATTATCAGATAGTGTTGTGACTTATTGTAGACCAGACTTGGAGCAGCGAGCAAGCCACATACACATTTATCTATCTATTATACATACTATATACATATATATATATATATATATACATCATACATATATAGTTATAAGATCGTACCTATGAATTATGCATAAGCTTAGCATTTCCGCATGCAACATGCCGCATTTATCAGCTATCTATCAAAAGTCCGCGGCATCAAAGCAATGTCAACACCAACGACAACGAGAACGACAACAAGAACACAAAACAACGACAATTCAATTTCATCATCATCGTCATCGTCATCATCGTCATCTGCATCGTCCAACATGAGAAACTAACCCAGGGAACATTGTTGCTGTTGTCAATCAGTCAGTCTTCACGTCATCATCATCATCTTCGTCGTCGTCGTCGTCGTCTTCAGCAAGTTGGTCGTCATTATCTAGCGTACGTGTGCCAAGCATCAACAACATCAACTACATAAATCCACATCGAGCCACACATCAAGCCATATACATAGCATATATGTAGCAAAGATATAACTCAACTCGATACCCAAAACTCTTGACATTTCCACAGAACAAGCCATGCAAGCCCACGTGTAGTTGCCCCAGTGGTGATAGCAGCTACGGCACCGTCAGCAACTATGACAGGTAAACCCCCCCCTAGCCCCTAGACACCACTATATATATGAGATATACATAGTTTGCCTTTCAATAACTCTTGCATCCAACATAATATTTCTCAACAGTATTGCCTATGCTCCGGCAAAACCAAAAGATGACACACCACCCGCAGATCCCATCAGTGTTAGCCTGGCCGTTCAAGCTGGCAAGGCCATTAATGTGCCCGAGGCTAAGTTGGCCTATGGATTTGCCCAGAAGCCCATCGATGGACTGCAAAAGGTGTTCTTCTCCAATGTGCCGGAGGAGAATCTCTTCAAGCTGAAGAGCGATGTCATCACGTTGAAGAAACGCACATATAAGAAGCAGGAGGAGGAAGAAGAGTACGAAGAAGAGGAGGAGGAGGCGGCAGATGAAGATGAAGAGCCAACATCTCAGCTAACATACAAACAACTCGGCTACATCACGGAGCAATACAAGAATCCCAAATTCAAGAAGGTTGTCGGCCGCAAAAGTTATGCAAGCAAGAGTTACGGAAGCAAGAGCTACGGCAAGGTGGCGGGCAAAGTGTCCGTAGATTGTGGATTCAAGCCCGGACGCGTCGCCTCCTATCGCAATGCCAATCGCGAAGAGTTGGATGCGGGCAGCTGCTACTGAAATGCTCCAGCAATCTATTTACTCATTATATACTTACATAAATGTACATAAGTGTGTGTTAATTTTTCTTAATTAAAAAACGAAACAACTAAATCAATCGCCTATAAACAAGGACTGCACATTTTTTTATTTACAGCATTAAGTACATAGATGAGCCACGATAAATTGTATTACCATTCCGGGAAATGTCCGAATTTTTATTAATATTATTAATAAATTTTTATCTTATGCTTGTTTCTTTTCGCTGTTAACTCAGAATAGAATGGAATTGATGCTGGCGCTAAAAGTTTCTAATGGACCGCCCTAGTCAGAATTAAAGACATTAAAACAAGATGTTATTTGGAAAACTGTTTGCCGAAAAAAGTTGAATTCAAAATTCGTTCATATGTGTTTGTTTCCTGGATAGGCCACTTACTATATATGAAGCTCAGAAAACTATACTCTCTGCTGGGCTCTGTGCTTAAAGTTGCGCCTGGAAAACAAGGCAATCTTAAAACCGATTGCACTCAACTGTAGGGGAACAGCAAACCACTCTAAAGTGAAGGTAATGCAGCGCTTCTAATCCAATAATATCCGAACACGATAACATGCTGGCCATAAACCTGATCGTCAACAGAAAACATCGAAGCTCCATCCACTCCTTAACTTTTCAAATAAAATTTAATAATAATCCAATAAGAACTAATTTTAAGTAAAGTTAAAACTTTTAAGGTACACTTAAAGTAATTACTTAATTGATGTAGAGATTAATGTTGAATTGATTTCTAGTTTAAAATTTAGGTTTAAAAAATTAAAATTTTGATTAAATAATGCGTTAAAATATTAAACATGCATATGGTAAATAGAAAAATTTAAACAAATCGAACTTAGTTCAATTTCTAGGCGAAATAGTGTGCCATTATAATGAATGTTTGGTCGACTTCAAATATTTGTAGGGGGCTAATGCACCCCTGCGTACGCCCTTGGTTGGTCAACTAAGTGAAAACTTTTTTTTAAAACATACAATTTTGTATGTTAAAGTTACTGCGTTGGACTGGTTTTAAAAAAATTAGGAAAAAAACATTTTAGAATATTTAAGTCGTCTTTAGAGCAAAAAGATTTTGTTACTAAATCTATTTGTAAATTTAATTGATTAAATTAATATTGATTATTCAGATCGCTTTAAGATCTTAATTTGTTTGCAAACAATACATAAATGGGGTTCCCTAGCCCCCAACTGACCGAAAGAAACTTCTCGGGTCTGTTATGTACTTAATTAAGACTGTTAAATACTTGTATATGTAGTGTATAGCTTGAATAGATTGTGGGTGTTCGTCCAGCATTTCAGTGGAGCAGAGAGTTGAAAAAGTGTAGCATAGTTTTCAGCGGCTTTGGTAAAAAAGTAATGCTCCTAAACGATGCCACAGTTGTTGGCTTTCTAAGTGCTTTTGGCTGGCATTTGCTTTAAAACACCTCTGGCTTTATTCAATGAATGAGTGCGGGCATTGGGCACGTTTGGATGGGCATGGGACGGGGCATGAACATGACTTTTGGCTGAAATACAAACACAGACACACTCGAGAGCTCTTTGAAAAGGTCAGCAGCGGCGGCAGCAGCAGCAGCAGCAGCAGAGTCAACGACAACAACAACAACGGACTGACTGACTGACTGAATGCAAAACAACAACACAGTAATAATAGCAACAATTATTTTGTACAAAAACAAAAACATAAAAAATTCTTCAAGTTCAAGTGTAGACTGCAGACTGCAGAAGAAGCACAGATGCAATGGCTATTGGTCTTCCAGACGTGGTCAGAACTGCGCCAGCCCGTTGGCATTCGATGTTCATATAAAGAATGCGTGCGACCAGAGCAACGGGCTAGTTGCCACAGCTAGACGACAGTGAGCAGAACGTCATATATTTAACCAGAAACTTGCCATTAGAATTTACAGACTCTGTCCAGAATGCTGCACATCATCCAATTGACGCTGGCGCTTGGTTGGCTGACCTCAAGCGTGGTGCTGGGCGCACCCGTCGATGTCATTTACACCGGAGAGGGCTGTGCCTGTCCCACCCAGTTGGGTTATCAACTGAATGTGCCACAGCCACCGAAGCCCAAGAAGTATGTGGGTGGAGAGTACGGCTATCGGGTCGATAAACCAGTGCAGGCCAAGGCCAAGATATCCTACAGTTTCGATTTCACCGTCGAAGAGCCACGCACGCCGGCACCACCGAAATACAAGCCCTCGAAACTCTATGCCAAGGTGGATCGCATGACGGTGAACAAACCAGGTGCGTATTACCCGAAAGCCCCCTCACAGAAGCTAGATGCGTTGATCACTGATCATTAGCAGAAGATAACGTTTCTTTCGAAGAAATATTCTTTGAAATTTCCGCAGACTTTTCACTTTTCGGTGTAGATTTCAATTATTTGTGCAACATCTTCCATCAACCGAAGAATGTATTAACAGAAATAGTATTCTTTTACTTAAATACTTTATTTATCTTCCATCATCTGCCATCAACACAAAAATATAACAACAGAAGAAACACTCACTTATTTAATTATTTGCATTTATTTGCCAACATTTTCCATCAACCGAAGAATGTGATAACAGAAAGAGCATTCGTTTGTTTAGATTTTTTATTAAATTTCCAACATCTATCCATCAAACAAAGAAGTGATTTACAGAAAAAGTTTTCATTTAGTTAATTACTTCATTAATTTGTCCAACAAGAAGATATCGACGGAAACTTTTTTCTCTATTCCATGATTCTGATTCTTTTTTCTGCCTTTATCTCTGACTGCACATTTCAGATTGTCCAGCACCACACGAGCCCAGCTGCCCATGCGGCAATTGCGCCAAGCCTAGGTACGTAGATCAGAAACCCCAGCCCGAGGGCACTAAACGCCCGTTCACGTGTAAATGCCAGAAACCACAGTGTAATTGCGGCGGGCGAACATTGTTGGCACGCCTCACATTTGTGCCGCTAGAAGGCTCGGGTGCAGGTCGAATTTTGTCCACCAGCACAAACAGTCCCGTGGGCAGCGCCTCAAATGCGATCTCGCGTAGCAAACGTGACCTGCACTCACGGCCCGGCGAAGGTCGGTTCCTGCGCAAACGTCTTCTGCGGCAGCAAATGCACCAGGAGCGTCCCGCTCGCTATGTTAAGCAATACCACAAAGATCTGGCTGCCCAGAAGAAGCTGGGTCTATTTGGTTTGGCGTCGCCTGCGGAGTCACACCCCAAGCGTAAGACCAAAAAGGTGGCCAGCTCGAGTTCACATACCAATTCCGGAAGTAGTTCCAATGGCCGCTCCCGCCCCCTGGCCCGCTGGCTGCAGCCCAGCCGAAGACTGAGCAAGCGCGACATTAAGGGTGAGTACGATCTGCTGGAGCGCGAGCGTGCCAACATAGATCTGACGGCCCCAGAGATCATACAATTTATGCCGGAGACGCTGGATCCGAATTTTAAGCGTGGCCAATGCCATGTCGGCTGCGGGGTCATTGAGGCTTCTGCCCCGCCCACCGAGACTGAAGCGCAGCAGAGTGACGAACAACCAGCGACCAGGGAACCAAACACAGAAACGGAAGCGAATACGGAGTCGGAACCCACACCGCCACCACCCGCCAACTCCATACCAGCGAAGCGGGCGGCCCAAGACTACGAACCGACCATCTATGCTGCTCAGGACTATGTCAACGATGAGGGAAATTACAGATATGTGACCGATGCACAGTTACGAACGCTACTCTCGACCACATCGGTGCCAGATCCATTGGAACAGAGTGGTGCCCCACTGCAGTTTGCTGGAGATCTCGAGGCCCCGCAGATATGGTCGACTGCGGTAGCGACGCCGTCTCTCTTGAGCTCCAACTATCAGAGTGGTCTGGGTGTGGGGGTTGGGGCGTCAGTCGGAGGTCGCGGCTATCCGGTGGAGCATGTGACTAATTCACAGCTAGATCGAATTATCTCAGGCATTATGTATAAACATCCCGACTTTGTGGACGCTTCGGCACATTATGGCGGCACACTTGTCGAGCCCGAGCCTCTGCAAAAGAAACAGACCACGGACTTTCTCAGGAAACTGATTGATGGTCGTCTAGGCGGTTGGGGTTTTGGCAGCGAACCCGATAGCTCCAATCCTGCCGACTACATTAAATCGCCATCGAAGACCTATGGCTTTAACAGTCAAATCCAAAATGGTTACAATGTGGACACTTACAGTTCGCCACCCATAACCGACTTTTTGCGCGCCTGGTTCTAAAGTTTCTATAGCTTGCCAGAGGTGTCTTGGCGAGATCTGTAAAATACACTCACACACACACACACACACCCACACACACACACACAAACGCAACCCTACACTCATACACACAATCACACACCTAGAGCTGTTTAATTAAATAATAAGTTAGTTTTAAAATAAATTTAAATTATAGTTACATTAAAAATAAATCGAAAATAATTGCGCCGGTTTTTTCAATTTCATTTCATTTTCGCTTACTTTCATTCCAGCTACAATGGCTATTGATGTCGATGAAGACGAAGAGCTCGAGCGCGAGCTCGCGAGCAACATTTGCAGAGGTCGACAGTTTATGGGAATTTCGAACCGGCTGCAGTTTCGGTTGCTTATGTAGGCCAGTGGGCCAGCAGGGCACCAGCTCCATGTATATATTATTTTGTAAAGTTGGTTATTTTGTAATTTTTTTTATGCACTTTTCTTTCCCTTTCACTTTCTCCCTCTATCTATGTCGCCTGTACTTTGCCGACATGGTTCAGGCAACACAAGCTTTATTATGTTTTTTAAATGTTTAATAAAATGTTTAACTCAATTTTCTGCCATCTATGAAGACACAACATTTGCATTTTATTGTTCCTACCGGCATACTTATAAGAAGTATATCGTAAGCTCACAAATGAAATAATTTTGCATCCAAATTATATGGGAAAACTAAAAGAAGAGTGCGGCGCAATATGAAGAAACTTAAAATTATCTGTTGTTTTTCTGGGCAATTGAAATGGTTAATCTAAGAGTAGGTTCTTAAAGCCGCAAAGTGAAATGTACAAATTTTCTTTACCTTCACTTCAGTTTGCACTACACCTAGCGGTCGCTATTTATCAGTCAGTCTACTATTCTAAAACAAACTACCAGATATATCAGCTTAGTCTACGAAACTTCAATAACCTTCCAGCTCGCAAGCTTTTACACAAAATCATAAGCAACCTCTATAAAACAAACTGGCATTAACCAACAATATCTGATTCTGAAAAGCATTTCTATATACGTATACATATTGTTCGCCTGTGGTGTTAATTGACCTTCAATATCAATATTCAACGTACATTTTAAATTGAATATTAAGTAATGTGCAAAAGGAATTATATTATTTATGTTGTTCTTTCATAATCACGATACATTCGAAAACTGTTCGCATGTTCTTTCTTTTTCATTTTAAAGAAAATACATTTCTTCTTGAATTACTCTCAAATAGAATGCAATTAAGACGGAAATTACAGAGCCATTCAAAATTACACAACAATTTTCGGAATAGATAAATAGAATAGATTCCGAAACTGAAACTATTTTTTATCCACCTTAATTGGTCTTCAATACAATGAGATAGAAGCATTATTATTTGCTCATAAGTTATAATCGTAACACAGAGGAAGAATAAATGTTGATACACTAGTACTACTATATCTACTATATATACTCGTATGTATGGCGCTTCTAACCAAATTTTAGTGAAATTAAGTTGGCAACTAATTTCGCCAAACTTATACGACCATTCGTTCTCATAGTTTTTCACAATTCTCCTATCATAAAAGTCGTTGAGTAAACTGTTAATATTTTCTTATCTCTTATAATAGTACTTATGTATATGTTGATCGGCAAAGTGCATTTTTAGATTTATATATTTGCTTCGGTTGACGAGTTTTAAGCTTACTATTAACTTTTAATTTAGCTTCGCCAACAACATTTCATTTCACAAATACGTTTTTCCATGACTATTCTTTATGACCAGCTCAGCAAGTTGGAGAATTATCTTTTACTGTAACCAATTCATGGCGAATACAAATCTAACAAAACCGCAGCCCTAAGTCATATACAGTCTGCTGGAACAACAACTACTAATAGGAAATAAAAAAGTTCGCAACGATTAAATTATTAACAGTTGCGACATTAATGGACTGCGGGTTAAATAAGATTTATGTATATTCACATAGGAACACATTATGCCTATGGCTTTGCGAATAACCGAAATCTGAATATTCAATCGAGTATTTATTAGGTTGATCAGATCGTTGGCCTCATGTGGATCTAATTGGAGACGTCCTGAAACATTGAAGCCAGCCATTTTTTCTGAATGGCGAGATCAAATAATCTGCACCGTAAATTACGTGTTATATCCGTTGGAGATCTGTCCTAGTGTTATGCCATTTTAGTTGAACTTTCAGCCTTTTAGGTAAGTCAAGATCGTAGTTGAAGCATTATCGACATGGAATCAAGGTCAACATCGGGGCACTCATCGAAGGACTCAACACTTTGCTGGACGAACCCATCATCAAAAAAGTAGTTCTTTTGCTAGGAAATTAGACTAGAATGACTTTTGGAAATATCAACCGAACAGCATCTTTAAAAGAACACTTCAACACAGCAGCCCCCAATGCAGTCTTCCCAAGTTCCCCGTGCAAGAAGACAATGCGAAACTAATACTCAGATCAGGCGCACATGAGTTGCAGAGTGATAACGTAATGGGCCGAGAGGTACGTGAATTTACATTACTGGAAGTAATTAATGAGATAATACATATAAATATACATACGAGTACATACAAAACGTATATTTATGTAAAACCACAGTCTGTTCATGAAGAATCATTATCATAAAAGAATACAAAACTGCTATATACTCGTACAGAACTTGCATCATATTCGTATACCCTTTATTTCTGTAAGTGGACTTCACTATCGAAAACAGATCCGGTCACTAAACTAAACACATACTTGTACTACAAAAATTGTTTTATGGAAATATTGGAACCTACGAATAATTTGCAGCAACAGTCAAATAATTGAGTGTCCTTGCTAATATAGCAGAAAAATCAAATAAAAAGAAAACCCACACAAATGTTAAACGTTGGTTCTTTGAATACTGGATCCGAGTCGTTTTCAGTCTTGAAAAATAAATGGATTTTGAATAAAGATCATAAATAGCCAAAAAGCAGCGAATGTCTTTAAAAAAATATATATATATTTTAGGTCAAATTTATTTTATATTGAATGAAGAGAACGCATGACATGGATGACAAAAATGCAGCGAAACTGTCGCTCTGGATTAGACATTTCTAGCCACTTTTCTTGACTACAGATATTCTAGGAGAAGAACCAATTAATTGAATAGAATTTAAAGAATTCAATTTTTATACCTATTTACATAATATTGGCTACTCTGGCAAAAAGCTATTGCTCAGCGTGTTCTGAGTTGCCATTTTTCCAAAACATTTGAACATTTTATTTTGGACAAAATGGCACAGAGGCGGAAGTGGTTGGACGCCATTGTTGTGTGTCATCCATGCCATTCATCCATCAATGACAACTGTTCGTAAACGTAAACAGAAACAGAAACAAGAATTGCAATAACTGCAACAACAACACGTCCATTGACCACTAGACATCAAGAAAATCGAGCCGTTGACCCTGGTTTAGTTAAAATATGCTCGCAAGGTTGACACAGCTGCCACACTCAAAGAAATGCCACACTTCTACGATTTGAGAGAAAGCTTCCTAAAAATAGCTTTGTGGCGAAGACAAAGCACCGACAGCCCGAATACACTAACAAGCGTGCTATGAGAAGCGCAGAGAAGGGCGTCCAAAAAGCCAAACAAGTTGATTTTTCGAATTTCTTTCAAAAATATTACATTTTTGCCTTTAGTGTAAAGTTTTTGTCAACTAAAAATAGTTTTGTGGCGAAGACGAAGCACCGACAGCCCGAATACACTAACAAGCGTGTTATGAGAAGCGCAGAGAAGGGCGTTCAAAAAGCCAAAGAAGTTGTTTTTTCGAATTTCTTTCGAAAATATTACATTTTTCACTTTAGTGTAATGTCTTTGTCAACTTAAAATAATCTTGTGGCGAAGACAAAGCACCGACAGCCCGAATACACTAACCTGCGTGTTATGAGAAGTGCAGAGGCGGGCGTCCAAAAAGCCAAAGAAGTTGTTTTTTCGAATTTCTTTCGAAAAAATTACATATTTGCCCTTAGTGTAATGTGTTTGTCAACTACCCAAAAATCAGATATTGTCGGCGTTATCTGGCATATGGCACGTCTGTGCGCGCTCAGGTACTGCCACTTGGCCGAAATCGCACGCAACGCTGCCCGCGATCGCATATTTAAATGAAATTCGTATCTGCGGCTGCGATCAGTTAGAAAGAAATATGCGAAAGCGCTGAACGTCGGACGCACAATTTTTTTTTTTTTTACAATTTTTCGCAATTTTTGTTGTTGTTTTGTGAAAGTGTTTTCCAACATTTTCGGCAAGGGCGTAAGGAGGCGGCCCAGGGCAGAGGCAATGCCCATATCAGTCGGCATTTGCCGGCTGCAATTGCTGGCCAGCATTGGTCTAATATTGCTGACAGTGATCGTGCAGGTGAATGGATAAACATTATTTAATGAGAAAATGGTGAAAATTTGTGAAAACAAACAATATTAGTTTATGCTTTAATCATAATTTGTATAACTTAATTCTAAAAAAAAACCCCCCATTATCAAACAATTGCAATATAATTTCGAATATTGTTGAGGTACACAAATTTTTGAGAAATTTGAGATTTGTAAACCCTAATATTTGACTGAAAGTTCGAATATTGAAGCCGTTTAATTGTAATTTTGAAAAAATAATTACATTTAGAGAATTTTATTTGAAGAATATCAACTATAAGCATTTATTTGCCAATTTATTTCCAGTTAAGATGAAATAGGGGTTAGTAAAGTCTATAGTGTTTTCATTTAATTTACAGATAGCTGTTGCTGCCGAAACAACCACCACGGCCTCGGACATCAGCACAACAACGGCGGGCACAACGCGCAGCTCCAATGGAACAGCATCGTCATCATCCTCGTCCTCCTCCTCCTCCTCTTCGGCAGCGGCGCGTGTGGAGGAACTGCAGCTGAATGCGACAGAGGGCGGCGGCAGTGGAGATGTTGCGGATCACCCACAAAACTATGATGTCATCGATGTGCTGGCAGCCACCAGCGCCGTGGTGGGTAAATCGAAAACGGGCCAGACCACTCGCATTTATACCACGGGCGAGGTGAACGATGATTTCTGGCTGAAGCATTTGGGGGAGGACTTCAAGCATGCGATACATTTGCAGGTGGGGGGCACAAACGATGAATACAATCGCTTGATCAATCAGACACGCGATGGCATACACGAGGAAGTGCATCACGAGTACTTGCCGGGTGCTGAACGACCGCCAGAGCATGAGGAAGGTGCCGCCACCGATGGTGGTGCTGATGGTGGTGTTGCCCGAGATATCCCCGGCCGTCCATTTGCCCCTCATTTGGGTCATTTGGATGGACAGCAGCCATATTTACCAAATCAGCACAACTCCCACACATACCAAGCACACTCGCGCAGCACAGCCAACAAGAACAGCATCAACGACCACAACTACAACAAAGCAACGCGTTACAAGCAACGCCAACGCACACACTCTCACGCACACGCACACTCTCACGCACACGCACAAAGGCCACCATTGCGGATCATCAACTCCAGCGAGGATACGCTGCCTTCTGCGGGGCGGGCGGGTGGCACGCCCCCAGGCGATGTCGATCCGTACGATAGCAGCGCGCACAGCTCCCAGCTGTTGCCCTTCAAATCGCAATTCAACGATTACGGCAGTCGACCCACCCGCGCCCTCGCCAGCGAAATCTATCAGCGCGGCCTTTGACTGAACACATTCACACACACACACACACACACACACATACAACACACACGAACACAAACACACACACATACAACACTTACAACACTTACAAACACACACAAACAAACCTAGCAACATAAAAACGATATTTAAGTATTTTAAAATAAATAAATTATAACAATCGATAAGGATGCTTCTTTTTATTTTATTTGTATTACATAGTGTATACGAATCCGATTTGGAATCATATATATACTCAACTTTTTTAACTAAAAAGATCCTTTTCCACACAGTTATTCTTCAACGATTTTTAAATGGTTTAAGAAGAGCAGGAAAAGTTAAAAGATGACAGCTATGTTTTCTTATTAGTATTATTTTTTCGACTTTAAAACGAAAACTGTTCAAGAAAGCGTATACAGAATTCGTTAATATATATATATTCAACTTATTTAACTAAAAAGATCCTTTTCCAAACAGTTGTTCTTCAATGATTTTTAAACTGTTTAAGAAGAGCAGGAAAAGTTAAAAGAAGACAGCTATGTATTCTTATTAGCATTATTTTTTCGACTTTAAAACGAATACTGTTCAAGAAAGCGTATACAGAATTCGTTAATATATATGTTCCCCTTTTATAGCGAAAAGGATCCTTTGCCAAACTGTTATTCTACAACGATTTTTAAATTGTTTAAGAAGAGCAGGAAAAGTTAAAAGAAGACAGCTATGTTTTCTTCTTATTGTAGTATTATTTTTTCGACTATAAAACGAAAACTGTTCAAGAAAGTGTATACAGAATTCGTTAATATATATATACAACTTATTTAACTAAAAAGATCCGTTTCCAAACAGTTATTCTTCAACGATTTTTAAATTGTTCTCGAAGAGCAGGAAAAGTTAACCCAAGCAGCTTAGAAGAAACAGAAGACAGCTATGTATTCTTATTAGTATTATTTTTTAAAACGAAAACTGTTCAAGAAAGCATATACAGCATTCGTTAATTTCAACTTTCTTAACTAAAAAGATCATTTGTAAAATGTTGTTCTTCAACAATTTTTTAAATTGAACCCAAGCAGTTGAAAAGAAACAGAAGCTAGTATTCTTTAAAGATGCATTTGCTTTTTCAGAACTATTTTTGTCAGAACAAAAATATTGTAAGACCTATAGCTGTACGAGTATATAGCAAGTAGCTATGTACCTTTTAACGAATATAATACTTATTTATTCCAATCGAAATTTTGAGGGTAAAAATTGTACAAAATTAAAACTATAGTCTCAATTTATTTTCAAAACGATCTTAAATATTCAAAGAGACTTTAGAGACCAGTCGCATTCAGAAATCGTCGCAAATTTGTTGCCTTTCTTCGAAAATCGTTAACCATCGTTAACCAGAAGAAAGAGACTCGGAGAGATATCAAGAAAGCTGGCAGCGTACTTTACAAAACGATTTCATGGCCTTATGACACAGTCAGTTGCTTTAAATCGTGTCAAGTAATTGGCACCGTCCGCACAGCTAAGCAATTCAAAGATCATCTAACCATCTAAGAAGATATAACAAGAAACAGAGAATCTTCACTAATGACAAGGGAGAGAAGAGGAAGAAGAAAAAACTCTGCTGATTATGCATATTGTATACCAGAGATCTGGTTGAAGACACTACATATTGTATTTACTTAGATTGGTAATATTTGCTCGTCTCTGTCATCTGTTCCTGTCCATTCTCTTAAACGGCGTCATCATAATTTTTTTATAGGCGCGAACATACTATATACTATATATTTTCAGGGCCTTAAGAGCTGTCGCTGGGCAGCGAGATGACTTTACCTCGACACAGCATTGGACGCACTACTTTTTGATTGCTATCGTGCCCCAGCATTGTCTGTAGAGAAAACAAAGCGAATCGAGACATTGCTGATAGACCCGCCAACATCAGCAGCGACAACAACAACAACAAAAACAAGAACAACAAAAACAATTGGCAACAGAACAGTACAAGAACAGCAGTTGTGGACGCGTTGCTGGAAGAAAAACAAAACCGGTGAAGTAAAAATTTGAAATCGGAAATCGGCGGTAGTTCGCATCGAAAAGATCACGTAGCCGTGTGCGCGATATAAAAGCATCGTTCGGGCCTAGGCGCTTATAAAGAGCTACCAGCTTGCCCAAGCAGCGAGCAGTACAGATCCGAGCTGACATACAACGCACACAACACAGACCAAAAACCCAGGCTAGCAATATGCAATTTCGTCTCTGGTTCGCGCTGTTCGCAGTAGCTGCAGCACCGGTAGGTTTCCCGAACCACTTGGGAAATGCACTCGCAAGAAGGCTCAACTCAATTCATAAACATTTTTCGCATACATTTTGCTAAATTATTAATTTTCTCTCTCTTCTTCTGCCTCATCGCCGATTCGTTTCTGTAGTTGGTGCGCGCTAATTATGGTCCACAAGGTGGTGGTCAGATTCAATATCTGCCCGGAGGTCCTTCGGCCGGTCTGGATGAGTATGTGAATGTGGCTACCGGTGGCTCACAGCCAGCATCCAGCCAGTTGACGAATGCCGCCGAAATCCAGCCAACGCCCGAAGAGGCACGTCGTCTGGGTCGCGTTCAGGCCCAACTCCAGGCTCTGAACAACAATCCCACCTACCAGAAGCTGAAGAACTCCGAGGATATTGCCGAATCTCTGGCCGAATCCAATTTGGCCAGCAACATTCGTCAAGGCAAGATCAATGTGGTCTCCCCCCAGTTTGTGGATCAGCATTTGTTCCGCTCCCTGTTGGTGCCATCGGGCCATAACAACCATCAGGTGATTGCCACCCAACCTCTGCCCCCAATCATCGTTCACCAGCCGGGCGCACCACCAGCCCATGTTAACAGCGGCCCACCAACTGTGGTGCGTGGCAACCCTGTCATCTACAAGATCAAGCCCTCGGTCATCTACCAACAGGAGGTGATCAACAAGGTGCCCACACCCCTGAGCCTCAACCCTGTCTACGTGAAGGTCTACAAGCCAGGCAAGAAGATTGAGGCTCCATTGGCCCCTGTGGTTGCCCCCGCCTACAACCAGCCCCAGCAGTACGGCAGTGCCGGAGCCGCCTCCGCCGCTGGCGCCGCTTCCTCCGCCGATAACTATGCCTCCGGTGCTGATGCGCCTCTGTACGCCAGCCCCTCACCCTATGGCTCACCCAGCTATTAAAGTTGCGGGTCTGAGCTGAGCCGAGTCGATCGATAACTGGGCGCCCAACTCTGTGGCTTGCTTGGTTGTCGCTTCTTGGGCCTCTTGCTCCAACAGAGCCGATCTAGATCCAAGTGACTTGGACAGGTCTTACAGTAAACATTTGTTTTTTTTTTCATAATGCAAATAAAAAAAGCCAAAAATGTAATCTCTATGTCTTATAATTTTTTACCCCCCATCCCATCATATAGATGTGATATCCCCCTTATGCAGGAAATCATCTCTAAACGGGTTTAGTTTCTTAGGAATACGGCAAGGAATAGATCCTTTAATTGAACTCTGTACTGGACAGAGAAACGAAATGCTGATAGTATTTTGTGGGTTCTCTTGATCTTGATACAGTCTGAAAATAACACTTTTTCCATACGATGTTTGTATGTACATATGTACAAGTATATATGTTTTGTTTTTTCAAGGTCAATGACTTCTGGCCCGGTTGAATTATTTATTGCACAAATAACGAAATTCCCACAATTATAGATAAAGAGAGTCGGAACAAAGTGCGGTACGCTTTGCTGACATGATTATAAGTCTTTGAAAGACTTAGTTATGAAAATATGTATATGTATAATATGGAATGTCAATTGCTGAGTTGTTTAGGAAAGGCTCGATTTATATTATATTATTCTATATATTGTATCAACATTATTGCCAATTTTGAATATAAAATTTGAATGTGTAATTTTTGTCAACTGATTTATGAAATGCAAAAATTATGATGATTTGAAGTTGTGTTCTCTATATCTATGTGATTTTTATATTTACGATTTCATACGATCGGAATTATATAGTATGTAGTACTCATATGTAGTTATAGTATCTTTTATGTTCCTATGCAAATCACATTCAGGGAATATACAGACACTGTTACTTCGCTCACTGTTTAGTGGTTGAAGAACATAAATATAAATGCTATGATAACGTTTATCTGAATTATGATAGTATGGGCTGTTTTTATTGAACACGACACGTAGTCTGGAGTTTTCTCCATAAAATATTAACCGATAATTCTCTATGGAATTATTTAACATGTTTCTATAATCGTCGAATTGATTCGAGCAGCAATCACAGTTTCAGAAAAGTAAGTTGGGAAAATTTGCAAATGTTTTTTGGAAATAATCCCGAACTGTAGAGATTCGAAGTATTCTCCGATTCGCATCTGGAAACTGTCATCCCAAATACTAAGTGGCCACTGGTTGCAGCTGCTATTGTTCCCATCGTTGGGGCACGCGACTCTCGACAATCGCCGACAAGCTGAAGCGTCAATGCGGAAATGGAATCTCAGACGCCGTCTTCGTTGTCTTTGTAACACTCGATATGGGGTCGCCGATAGACGTACATATACTTACATACGTATGTCTGTATGTATATATGGGTCTATATTTGTGTGTGCGTGTGCGTGTGTGTGTGTGTGTGTGTGGTTCTGTGTATAGATGGGCAGCGGGTTTGCTGTTTTTTGCGGCGTACGCTCCAAGAAAGATATGCGTGCATGCTGGGTATCTTAGCATTTGGCATGTTCATAAATGGTGGCCAAGACAACAACAATGCGATGGGCCGGAACGAGACTACCGGGCAGCATTCGAAGCCGACGGTCAAATGTCACGTAGGTTGAAGCGTATTTAAAGAAATGTCGGCCAGAGCTTAGGGCATCAGTAGAAAGCAGACGTTCGCCTTGAGAGCACGGTGAACACAACAACTATTGACGACGACAATTCGAAACGATGAACAGATATAGTTTCGTCTGGGCGCTAGCCGCTTGCTTAATTGTACGTTCAGTTGGAGACATCTTGAAGAAGAAGCAGAAGCAGAAGAAGATGAAACGAGATTGACATTGAAGCTTACTTACACATCATTTTTTCTCTTCATTCTCTCAATTTTAGGCATGCGCCAGCGCTGGCGGCTACGGTGGTCAGCAGCAGGGCGGCTATGGTGGCCCAGGTGGTGATGGTGGCGCCGATGCGGCCGCTGCCTCAGCAGCCGCAGCTGGAGCCAGTGAATACGGCAGTGGTGCCGGTTTGGGTGGAATCGGTGGCATCGGAGGCATCGGTGGTGGTGCCTCTGATGGCGGTGCTGCCGCTGTTGCAAACGGTGGTGAAGCCGCTGGCGTTGCTCACGCCTCTCAAGGCAGCTACGGCTCCGACCAGAACCTGCCCTACAAGCCGGTGAACACCAAGGGCAACACCCTCACCTCATCTATCACATATCCCCAGAACAAGGGTGAAATACTCATTCATCGTCCCGCGCCCATCATTGTGAAGCGTCCGCCCACCAAAGTGCTGGTCAACCATCCCCCACTGGTGGTGAAGCCCGCACCCGTCGTTCTCCACAAGCCTCCAGCAATCGTGCTGCGCAAGGTCTACGTTAAGCACCACCCACGTCGCGTCAAGGTCGAGCCTGTCTTCGTCAACGTGGTCAAGCCACCAGCAGAGAAATATTTCGTCAATGAGAAACAGCAAGGTTATGGTCAGAATGCCGGACATGGCTCACATGGCGGACATGGTGGACATGGTGGACATGGCAGTCGCATTTCTCACGGTGGTCCCGGACCCCATCATGGCAGCGGTCCCGCTCTCCCCGCTTACGCCTCGGGAGCCGATAGCGCTGCCGCTAGCGCCGGCTACCAACTGCTCCAGGGTGGCAACCATGGACTCTCCGCTCTGGCCAACATCGCTGGCGAACGTGACGGTTATGGTTCCGGCCCAGCTGGTCCTTATGGCCAAGGACACTCCGGTCCCGGCTATAATGCGGCTCCAGGCTACTAAGTGATGGGTCCAATCCATTGGCCCCCCCATCATCTAGTCTAAGCGCTGCTGGAGACGCCCAATTGACTAGTCGGAACAACGAACCAGTTTCGTATCCAAATCTTCTCAATTGGCTTTAGTTACTAAAGATTTAAATGGCTTCGACGACCCGTGTCTCGAGTACCGGGCGAGCAAGTTCCAATGCAAACAAATAAAAAAAAAATTGAAAAAAAAAAATTTTTAATCAAAACAATCAAGGTGCATTTTTTATTTTTTTTTCCCCCCCTTTTCCTCCCCCCACATTCCCACTCTCAGTGTAGCTTGAAGACCACTCTGAGGTCACCGGAATGCGTGCCAAGCTCGCCAACGATTATTACCCGCTCAGAACATATAAATACTGGAATCAGCTGAAAGCAACAATTCGACAAGCCATTGGAGATACGAGAATGAAACGATCGTGATTAGAAGAAGAAGAAGCACACTAATACCAATATTATCGAGCTAAGCAACTAAACCTCAGCCTCAGGACCGCATTGCCGATCACAAACCGACCAGCAAACCGACTTCTGACCGTGTCTTTAAAGCTGAAATTTGGTAGTAAGACCCTAATAAAGAGACCCTTAAATATAGATATAGTGCATAATCGTTTGCTAGCCAATAAGTGCATGGTGTTAGAATTGAAGACGCTAGTTTTTTTTACATCATTTATAAAGGTATTCTATGTATATGTTGCGTTTCGTCTCACCCCTAAGTTCTAGATACTCAAAACGAATCGATATCAAAGATATGACCGAGAGATATCGTTCGTATGCAACGTGAGATCGGATCACAATATATTATAGCTGCCGGACGATTTTGCAATAACATTCTTCATTTCTGCAACAAAATGTAGTCACGTAGATTTGAAATGTTGTGATTCTATATACAATTGAATGATATAGGAGTGATTCAAATATTACTTTTCATTTTGTTAGGTCATCAATAATGGTGCAAACCTTGAGTTGGAATGGACTACTAAATCAAGAACAGTATGTTACTGCATTTGCAAGGGTATATCCATTTTTATTTCGTTATATTTAAGGCATATATACTTTTTAGGACATTCTTGCCATATTTTGAATACTTAAAAAAAAAAACAACTATTAGTTCGAGTCCATTTCGTTCCCTCCCGAGTCCGAAAGGATAATCCCCTCTAGCTCTAACATTGTTGCTATTTCTCGTATGTTTTTCCATCCAAAAATGAAATGCATACTAAGAATTAAAAATTATAAAACAGTTTCAAGTTGTGCGCTTTTTAAAACCAATATATAAGCCCTGAAAACCCTACTCTAGAGTATGGTTTGGTAGAAAAACCAATTAGAAAATAAATACTTGCTGTTAGAGAAGAAACAAACAATACCCAGCCATTTAAAAAAGTATTTTCAAGATTTTGCGCAAAATTGTAAATCAGAGAAGCTGCTCGAAATTTAAAACGTGCTTATATACGAGTATATAATTATATATTATAGTATATAGGAAGGAATATCCGTTATACCAATTATTGGAGAAACGTATTTTCCTATGCACTTGAATTGACTCACGCGGCCATCTCTAAGTGGAACTGCAAGCGACATTCGAATCGAAAGTAGGTCGTCGTATGACGCCCATTTTCCGATTTGAAAAATCAGCATAAAAATGCAACAGTTTTTGCAAAACGTTTTCAGTTTGTAAGCAGAAATTGCGAAGCGCACAAAAATAAATAAAACACTCAAGCGCGCAACTCACTGGGCTAATTGGGCTGGGCTTGAAGAAAAGCCGCGAAACTGTTACAAGTTCAACGACGCGCTTACGAGAAACGCGCGCGTTTCGCCAGCAACATGATGCGTCGCCATCTGCCATCGATGACATACCAAATAGTTAGTGCCCTGCTCTGCCTGTGCCTGATACTATCCGCAATATGTCTGACCAATTCTCAGGTACATTACCTGTACAGCACAGGCTGCTCCTCTCTTAAATATTTGCATCTATTGTTCCGCCAAACTTCTTACAGCCCGTTAATACGAACCAAACTGGCGATATCCAAATAGTGCGGCTGCGAAGACAGAATGGCAAATCATTACAGTATCTCATTGATCTTATATTTAGCGTTGTGGACAATGTGCCCATTAGCTACTACAAGAGAAAAGTGAACCAGTAATGAGATGAAAACGTCAAGCCCAGAACCAAGTATGTAGCTTAACGTATTCTCCTATTGAGATCGTGTTTGGCCAACTCTACCCAACTTCAACACAAAATTTAATAGAAATCAATTAAATTTAATCGCAAATAAATCTCTATAGTCAAGTATGTGGTATTTCTTGTTCCACAGCATCCATTTAATTTGAAATGAAATCCTTCTGCGAACCCATCCATAAAATCGATTATAAAAAAATCTGAGGAACACTAAAATTGTAACAACATATTTTCACTGTTCTTGTGTGGTTGAGTTTGGTTATTTAATTAACGTTCTTTTTTTTAGTTTTAGTTAGATTTTATGTTGTTTTTTTTACATTTTATATAGTTGTTGCTTTTTAAATATATATTTTAAATACATATATATATATATATACGTAAGTGATATTTGTTATTTGTTTGTAAAGCCTACTTTAAGCTATAAATTTATGCTAATAAAACCGCACATGATTGTAAATAGCTATATGTTACACATTTAAAAATTGATTAAAGTTTCGTGGCTATTATGTTTGTCTTTGAATTATGGCTTCTTTTTTTTTCTATTTAGTCGATTGCTTAGATGTGATTAATATGTAAGAGAGAATGTGCACACATGCCATAAAAAATGAAACTGACAGCACTAGCGCCGCTTCAGGATCATTCATTAAAATTGATGCAAATGGAATGTAAATGTAGTGTATAATGTTTAAATAGCAAAGATGAATTGTGAAAGGGAATAATGTTGGCAGCATAGAAAAAAGGGCGAAGTTTAAAAATACAAATTGATAATATCGGTATGTAAATATGTATAGTATAAGATGATTGTGAGAAATGCGGCGGCATGCATGCAATTATGAGATAATATAACAAATAATAGTTGCAGCTACTGCTGCTGCTGCTTAGTGGCGTCCTGCAGTGGCATGCAATTGCGATTGCTGTTGTTGTATTTTACTTGTAATGTTCGAGTTCTGGGTTTTATTCGCGCAATTGTTGTTGTTATTATTGTTGTTAACATGACCAACATTGGTTACCCCATTTGGCATGGACAATTTTTTTGGCATTTCATAGGGTCGTCCAATCATGTTCGGCGCCATGTTCCATGCATGTGGTGGCTGCAAGGCAAATAAGACTTTATTAATAAAAGTATTAAACGTATTAAATTAGTGGTAAGATATTAGGTGTTATGAGAGTTAGATAATATCTTTTCTATTTGGGTTCAAATATATAAAGAAATCTACATGGCAAGTTCACACAGATGGGCAAATATGGCTTATAGTTTCGTATATAATGAGGCTTGCCTATCATTCCCCCTTCTGCCTCTTACAGGGGTTAGAAATAAGGAGATCATATGGATAAGTATACGTATGGTTGTCCTGCCTTCTTATATTATTAACATTTTTTATAGGTAGGGTAAAAACTAATTCGAAGCTTGCGAGAAACATAATACAAATTTATATAGCAATATGTAGTTTCGAACCCGTACTTTATAGGTTTGAATATATACATATAATCATAGCAGACTTTGAAAAAAGAAAACATAAGGGGTTGGATAGTATTTTTCTACCTGTACTCCTCCGGCGCCCTTACGTGTAAAGTACATGGAATGCTGTTGATGCTGCTGTTGTTGTTGTTGCTGCTGCTGCTGTTGTTGCTGCTGCTGTTGTTGTTGCTGCTGCTGTTGTTGTTGCTGCTGCTGTTGTGGTGATGGCGGCGGCGGCGTTGTGTAATAGTTAAAGTGCTTACCATTAGTGCTGGGCGATGGTGTTGGCGTGGGGAGCAACGCCACGGCACGATTCAAGTTCGCATCCTTAACATCGATGGTGAACTTGTTTCGTTTGTCGCGCGGCTTGTTATACGGGCGCTTGCTACTTGAATTATAGTGAACAGCTGTCTTGCTGTCCACTTCTTGTTCAGCATTCGAGCCGTCCGGTGATGGTGGTGGTGTGGCTGTAACCACCTCATCAACAGCTTCTACATGCTTGCCAGCTCCTCCTCCTCCTCCCATTTTGTTGGCCTGCGGCAATTTGTTGTTAGTAAATATTAAACATAATTTATTTTTTATCCTGGCACCCACTGTTATGTTTGCTGCGCATTGGTCCGTGTTATTGTAGTGGTGTGACGATTCTGATGGACTTCCACCTCCGTTTTGCTGGCATTCATATTCACAATTGTGCGGTCCATTGAAGTTCAATTCTTCTGGCTTGTTTATCGCACGCAAATGGGGGGGTCCATATATTTGAGATCCATTCCAGGATGTCTGGACATTCTGCAATGAAAATTGCGATATTAGAATGAAGATAATGTGATTCTAAGCTACAATTACCTCCGCCGTGTCCGTAAGGCGCTCGCGATGTGTCATACGTTTGTGCATGTCCACACCCATATTGTAGAAGTAACGTAAGGTACCTACATCTACAGGCAAATCATCGCCATTGGGACGTAACGAGGGTCGCGGCTCGACACTGCATTCACGATTATCGGCTAGTGATGCCGGCTGCATTGCTCCAGCATTCTGAACAGCCGATTCCTGATCCTCTGATCGTCTGGGACTGGAGGATGCTGACAAATAAGATGGCGTTGGCGTTGTTAAAACTCGTGTCATAACGCCACCGTATGCTGTTGCTGGTGGTGGCGGTACAGGTGGACCGAGAATTGGAGATAGCGGCACAAAAGGTGCAGGCTGCGGTGGTGGAGGTCCCAGCGGTCCGAGCGGTCCTATGCCACCCATTGATCCGGGCGGTGGCTGTGGCGAAGGGTAACCATATGGCATGTATACACAGCCGGCATTTGCTTGAGCTGGCTGCGGCTGTGAAAAGACATTGTGAAACTCATCGGTCATGCCCATTGGGGCGATGGGTCCCAAATGCCACGAGCCTGTGCCATTGGCAACGGCTGCTGCTCCTGTTGCTGGTGGCGGATGTGGCAGAGGCAATGGCAATGGTCCAGAACGTATCGACACATAGCTGGAATAATTAGCCGCCAGCGGAGGTGCCGAAGATAAACCTACAGCTCTTCCGGTGGCGCCAGAGATCCCAGTATTCTCACATGTGCTGGCAATGTGTTGCTGCTGTAGATGCTGATGCTGCTGTTGCTGAAGCGCACAAAATCGAGGTTGACGTGAACGCTCCATTGGATTGTCAATATGACGCATTTGCTGATCCGTTTGGCCACTCCGAGTTGAATCCTTGTTTATGTTCTCCTCGTCCATACTGTTGCTGTTGCTATTGTTGCTAGTGCTTGGACCGTCATGGATTTCAGTAATATTGCTGCCCTGTTTGGTTTTGAACGGCTGCTGCTGAGAATTTAAGATCAGCTGATATCTGAAACAATCCATGGGTTGTAGCTCATAGCCACTATATTCCACCATTGACTCGCACTTCCCCGGTTCGAAATATGGGGCCACCTCGAACATTTTGGCTGTCTTCTTCCATTTATACATTTTCGATCTGTGTACAAATCTTGTTATATTATTGCTCTTACGTTGATAACGCTGTGGCAACGACCAGGGTCGGAACTCATGTGGCGGAACCGGATGAAGCGATTGGTATGTGACCTTGAATGTACAGTGATATAAAGATGATTAGTCAGCAAAAGAATTCTTTGTTTGAAAACCATAAAACATAAAAATTAATTGAACTCTTTTGATTTCAGACCTTCAAGAGTTTTTCTTTCACTCTTTAAAAACAGTCCACTTGATCTTGCTTGTGGAAAAAATGTATGCCAATAACCAACTAAATTCTTACGACAGCAATAGGATTATATTTTGTAAGCATATCTTCTGCTCAACTCGCCATTTCTATGGCAGCTTCATAATAATTATATAATGTGTCGAATAACTTGTGTGCAAAATTGCAACCAACAATTTGTGGTATAAAAAAATAACCAAAAAGAAATTTAAAAAACAAAAAAAAATATAACAGTATAAGGAATTTCTCGCAATATCGCCTACCAATACATTTTGGCCTAAGTTTTCCACAAACACCATATAGAGAGATTTGTCTTTTGAAATTTTTTGTATGTGGCATGTGAGCATTTCGCTTCCACGTTGGAACTCCCAAAGACACTTGGCGCCGATCTGGAAAAGTTTAGGGATCAGGTGAAGCTGGTGATTGGTTTTTTCATATAGGTGAGTATGTGTGAGTGTGTGTATATATGTGTGCTTGAGTGTTGGCGTGTTTTTGTGTATGTGTGTAAAAATGTTACAAAGGGCTGATGAGGACTAAGCTCACGCGCCTACCTTAAAGTTGTAATCGCCAGCATACATATTGTATCGTTTTGCCTCCTTACGCATATCATTCCAGCAATCAAACTCAATATTGCGATACATATGCGAATCCAGAGATTTGGCCACCTTGTAGGGGAATGGTGTTATACCTGAAATATTGGATTAAATAATATATGGAAAAAAATATGACTATGCAGCCTTCTTATAATCATACGCTACTCAATGGGCGATTAGAGAGCATAATAAAACGGGTTTTTTGTTATTTTCCTCAAAGGAATAAACTCACCATCATCTAAAAGCTGGCGCACACACGATATCATTTTATTTGGACACATTTGCAGTTGCTCATTGGAGGCAAACGATGTCTGTATATCTGTGCCATTTTTTAAATCACGTCGTTTCGCCAAACTCACTGTACTTTGCTGCAATATCTTGGCGTGGTAGTGAATCCTGTTGTGAAAATTGCACAACTTATAGTTCTCTAATATGCACTTTGTTTCCTCTGGAAGATCCAGCTTGAAACTGCGTCCATCCTTGCACTTGACGCGAACGATATAGCCGGCACTATTGTATTCCATTTCGTACGAACCAAGATTGAAGGTCTGCGGATGCAGCATTGTCTCGATAGCAAAGCTAACGTCTGGCAACTTGAAGAACATCTTGTAAAGCAACTTGAATGAAATGGCTACATTGGACAATTTAAAGTAATATTATTTTTGAACACAATTAGATGCAATCGCTTACCCTGACAAATAGCCGCAGACTCAATATACTTCAAAGGATAGACCGAATCGAAATGGTTTTCGTGAGCAAAGAAAACGCGGAAGTTGTCAATGTAGTGTTTATTAAAGGTGACCACAGTACCCAGATTGAAGGGCTCAAAGAGTACGACATTGCGACTATAAAGAAAAGGCCATTACAAGATTAATTCAACAAGAAAAGAAACTCATAAATAAATTATCACCCGTAGATAAATGATAATTATTTTAACCCTCCCTTTTTGTATTACAAAATTTGTAGTCCAAACATTTCTTTTGTTTTAATAATTCGTAAACCTTAAATGTTTGCTACATCCTTATTCTAAGATACATGGCATGCCAGCTAAATGTTTGAAAATTTATTACAAGGTCAGTAAACCCTCTCTGCTATTTACTTACATATATTACAGTACAAGAAACTCACCGATACATGCAGCACATAGCGCGTAACTCCAACATAGTCCCATAGGTCTTCGGTTTAGCCATATCCAGCATATAACTGTCATAGTCGCCTACCACATGCTGTTCGAAAATTCGTCGTTTTTGGGTCATAAAGCGCACACACTCCAGACGAACCTCGTAGTGCAGCATTTGGGTATCATACATTTGTTCTGCAATAATCCGAAACAGACTGGAGGCATCTCGAGCCGTGTGCTTGCGATAGAAGTTGTTACTCTCCAAAAATTGATCGTACGGATCTGGTGCCTGGCGGCTGCCGGAAGTTATAGGACGAGGAACCATTGCTTCTGGGGGGGAGAAGGAGTTTTAAGATACATACATACATATGTAGACATTAGGAACATGTAGAATATACATATGTATGTACATAAGTAATTATAATGCCATATGCCCAGATAGTACGTACATACATATGTACTATATACATACATACATATGTATATTGATCGTGCTTAACACCAGTTACAACAATTCTAACACGATCGTTATAATGTATACGCTATTATAATATAGTACATACATATGGACACAAATAAAAACGCGTAATAAATGCAACTCTTTATTTTGCTAAGCAATTTGTGTCGTACGCAAAAGAAACGGTAATTGAAACTGTCGGACGTTGCCCTGTACCCAGACAAATAGGCAATGCGATGAAAAGAAATGGCAATACTGTTTCTGCACAAAAATGCAAAATGGCGCGTGATCTTTAACCCTAGAACATCATCCTTATTTTTGTCATCCTTCGTCATTTTGACAAACCTATGCTATACAAATTTATTATTTTCTTTACTTAATTTTTAAACAATAAGTAATGAAATTCATATATACATATTTTTAATTGCTTGGACTAAGAAAAATTAGAACAAAACAATTAAGAAAAACCTATTTTCAATCGCGCAGGGCTAAGACGTGGGAGAGGACAAATAAAGGCATGCAACTACGGAGTTAATATGTGTGTATACATATGTTTGTATGTATATACAAACTGATGTGTGTACAGTGTTAACCGTGAGAAAAAAATGTTTGACCATCGGATTCAGTAATATGTATATGTATGTACATACATATGGAGAAGAATGTATGTAACACTAACTAAGAACGTACATTTATTGCGAAACAAGTGCATATACACTTGATCATAGATTGTGTGTAAACGCCACCTATGTATGTATGTGTCTGCATATATGTATAGGTATGTACATATGTATATTACATTTATGTGTATATGCACAATTAGACTTACCCAATTGATATCACTAGGCAAACAATAGCACTCAGAAATCGTAAAAACACATGAAAATTAAATTTTAAAAAATGCAAAACGGCCAGAGGTGCAATGATAAATGGAATTATGTATGTATGTATGTATGTAAACGCAAGCGTGCGTATGAAGTTATGTTGTTATTGTAGAAAAAATAAATATTTAAAAACGAAAATTTAAAAAAAACAACACTTGAGTGATATTAGCAACTGCAGTATTTCAAAATACGTATGATATTTTTCCGCCAGACCGTCTGCGCGACACAGTGTTACACATTGAAATGAGGACCAGTTTTAAAATAAGATCAGTTGTCGCTCTTCACCCCCTTTGCCCATTCACACAGGAAAGCCACAGGTGCTTTCCAGGCCCTAACGTTATATTTCCAAGGGCAATATTGAAAGAACGAAAATGTAATAAAAATGTTATGTTGGCAACGCCCCTTTCTAATGGTGACTGCGTTTCAAAAGACGACCATATATTGTACATATGTATGTATGTACATACATAAGTACATACATAGTGAGTGCATTGCAATAAGTGCAATATACAAGCATGCGCATATTTGTGGGATTACAATTTTCCCTTACGTTTAAAAAATGCATGCAAATTTGAAAATAATGCACTTACATATGAACTCATTTATAACGATTTGTCTGATTATTTTAATAGAGATGAGTGATAGGTGGTCGTGATAAGCTCACAGCTGTATCTATCGCAAATATTTTATGCCTATCGATGGCATATGGCGAACCTATCGATAGCAAAAGCGCGCTTTTTATTTTTGTTGTGAAAAGGGGTGGAAAATTGAAACTTTGTGCCGCTTTTCTTCGCTGTTATTATACTCGCCTGTCGCGCAGTTTCAGTTTGAAATTTCAAGTCAATGAAGCCAGGAGTATACTTCAAGTTCGCGCTGTTACCGCGACTGCAGTTGTCTGGAAGAGATGTGAGTGTGTGTGTGTGCATTGTTAATAGTTGTTTATTTAGTTGTGGTTATTTTGTTTTTTTTTTTCTGTTACCAATTTAGTAACTACTATCTAAGTGTTTCTGTTTTGGTTGAATGCCAAGTGTCTCGGTGTTTTAAAAACAAACTCATTATCGTTAAGCCATGAAGCGGTAACACCAACACTTGCATTCTTTTGTTGTAAATAAAACAAAATAAACGTATATGTAATGTTAAATGCAAGCTATTTAATAACAGATATGTGCAATAAATACCAAAATACGCATTTATAAATCAGTCAAAAATGCCAAAAAGGTCCAAGTGCGTGGTGCCCTGTGCCCTTTACATTTCGGTTGGTTATGAAATTCGCTTTTGCTGTCGTTGTTGTTGTCTTGCTCAGGATAAAGTCTCGTTATTGTTGTGTTGTTAGCGGCGCGTGCAACGTGTGCAGTTATTTGGTTATGGCATTCCCTTTTGGAGGAAGGCTCGGGTAAAAATCAATATACATACATACATACATATACCTAGAATTAATAAAGGACAAAAGCAATGCAGCAAACTTGCAGTCTGTCTGTATGTCCTGCAACAGCTGCGACAACAACAACAAACAAAAACCCAATGACGACACGTGTTCTCCCCCCCCCCCCCCCAGTGCGTCAGCTCGTGCGTATGTACTTACATACAAATGTATATGTATGTATGCTTGTGTGTATGTGCCGCCTCCGTATGCATTTGATGGCAAATCAATAAACAGTTAATCAAGTTTGTTGAACGCGTCTAAAATTTGTGCCAAACGAGCATCTTAGCTACAGCTCGTAATTACCCTTTGTATTTACGCATGCGACCCGGCACTGTGGTTCATTTTTAATTGTTGCGTGATAAAAATCAATAAGTGCCACATTGTTTGCCCGCCTCACCATAGCTTAATACATTAAATCCTACTGGTTGTAAATTTTTAAGCAGATTATTACATTTTATTCAATGGGGGAAATTAATAAACATATATTTAGTCGCTACTAACTAGATGACGAGTTTCTCTCCAATGACGGTAACGTGTTTGCATATCTGACTGAAGCCTTATTGGCTAATTCGCGGAATGAGATTAACTGGCAAAGCAAATAAAGAGAATATTCTTTGTATATTCGTTCTTGGGATTCTGCGAACTTGTAGCCCAGTGTGCGGTTGCGTATTATTTGTGCGTGCGTATGTACATATGTATTTATGTGTCTGCCTTTTTTTTCTTACTGCGTGGCTGTTGGTTTGGTTTTTTGCATCACGAAACGAAACTCGAGTGTAATGCGTGTGGCTTTGGTTTCAGCTGCTTTTTTTATACTTACATATACTTATACGTACAATACACACATGCATTTGTACATCTGTGAATATGTGCTCATTTTTTTGGTCCATCTATAAATCTAACGGTATTTTGTATATGTTTATTTAGCTAAGAATTTAGGTCAAGCAACTGCTGCTGCTGACACAATTTATTTGTGCGTTTACGACCAGTAGGGCAGATGTGTGTAATAGTGTGTTAGTTCTGTTGTGTGTTCTGTTTTGTTGTGGTGTTATCAGGTGTTGAGGTCAAGTGACTATGTCAATGTCATTTGGCTAGGCCAGCCAGCAATTTCGCAAAACTCGTTGTGCAATACAAAAACAGACAAAAATTCACATGCGTGACAAATAGTTGTCAAGCCCAGATGGGCGTTCTCGCCCGCCCTTTCGCCTGTTTTTTTTTTCCATTATATTGCAAATGTCAAAGACAAGGCAGTCTGGCAAACACACACACACATTCATATGTATACATATGCCTAGAACTCATATGCATATGCATGTGTGTGTATGCAAGCAGACAGAGCATTGATTAAACAAAAATCATATTTCTTATCAATTGTTGTTGGGCAACCTACACCTTCTGTCCTTGCCATTGAGTCGCTCTCTCTCTCTCTCCCTCACTCCCTCTGTTTGAGTGTCTCTTATATCTACACGCTACTTGCCTGTTGCCGATCTGAGCTTCAGCGTACAATGGGCCTAATATGAGATGTGACATTAACTTTCTCATTCAAAAAGCTACATTTTTATAATTTTTTCCAAATTGTAACAAAGTGATAAAAGAGTCATTCTGAGAATCTATATTTAAGAAAGTCGCTTTAAGCGTTTTAGAAAAAGCTCTTCAAATGAGAGAGTAACGAAACAGCAGAGTAGTGTTGAAAAATGCTTCACAATTACTTTAAGGCTGGAAAATCATAGCTGAAGCGGATACAGCAACAATGATTTTTAAAACTAAAAATAATCATTATTATCGTCTTTACGGTGCAGTTTTTTCATAATTTCTTCAATTAATTGCCTTTGATGCATAAAATGTATCACAAACAATATAAACAATTGTAAACCATATCGCCACAGTTGCGACGGGTCTCTTCCAAATCAAAATTTCTGCTGCCTATCTTATCTTCTGACTGACCGATGTCATGGTTTTATAGTTTGTCAGTGAGTTTAGTATTTATATCACATTTGGGGGCTTACGGAGTGGGGTCACAAAACCCCACAACGACGGGGCTGACAACTGTAGCGTCGTATTTTTAATACGCTACCTTCATATGTTTTCTATTTATTTCAAGATACATTTCTTGGCTTTTTGTTGTGATTGTTCTTCGCTGTAAGATACATATGTATATACGAGTATGTACATATACAGTGCTCCTTTTGCTGTTGTTATTATTTATTGTTGTTGCCTGCCTGCCTGTCTGCCTTCCTGCCTGCTTGCCTGTCTGTCTGTCTGCGCTCGTCTGCTGTTGTTGTTTGACGGTCAGCGCCAAAGATTTTGCGCTTCGCATTTTCAGTTGCCGTCGAACGTTGAGCGTCAGCAGAAGTTTTTGTTGATTTGGTGAGTGGTGGAAAGAAAGAAAAAAATAAGCGACGAGTAAAAAACAACTTCTGCAACTTGCAAGCCTATTAGAAGAAATGAAACCGAAGATAGAACGGCAAGAAGCAATCGCAACCGGTTTTCTTATTTCATAGTATTTTTTTTTCCTCTTTGGCTACGTTAGCAACAAAACTCGCGAATTCCGTCGCCCACTGTTATCTAAGCTGCAAAAAGTAAAAACTAAACAGAAAACAGTTACAAATACAATGAAATAAGAAAAGCAAGCAAACAATTTGCAATCTTATTGATTAGTTAGTTCTGAAACACGATTGTCTGTCTGTCCGCCGTCACAGGCAATGTCATAAAAGTAGGCCTACCTCAATAAACCAGGCATCTGCTTTTGAATGCCCACAGTGAACACTCAAATAATGCAACTAATATAAAGGCTCCTATAATACGACTAAGTTAAATAGTAAATGGGACATTGGAAGTTCATTCTATGTCGGCTACAATACTGAAAACTTTTCAAAATGATTGTTACATCGAAAAGTGGCTACTTCGGACTACCATATCTTATTGATTAGGTCACAGTTCATATACTTTATGCATATAACTTCCATGAAAACGAACCCAATCTTTTTGCGAATGAAAATAACTAGAAAATTTAAACACCACTCATATGAATAAGACTAACTTCAACAAATAGCCCTAAATTACAAGCTCAATCGAGGTGTGCCACTTTGACAGAATTTATGAATCGAAATCGCACAGAACAATGGGTTTATACCATTCCCAAAGATTCAATTAAGCGATGCCAAATAACACGATTTTTAACAAGAAATTGTGAATGTGATGCCATTAGTAATATTCAGGCCAAATGATTTATCAAAGAATTCGTTTAGATTTCCATTGACGTACTCCTCAAAATCGCTTTCGAAAGCGTACAAATTTTAAATGCAACATTGACCTCTCTGAACCCAATCACATTATTTTGAGTCTAGCAAGTCCAAAAAAGAAGATCATGGCAGATTTTCTCTATTTTCTGTAAATTGCACTGTTTATGCAACAGAAATGAAATGAAATTTTTAAAATTATTTTTGGATTATTAAGCTTGTAAACCTTTTATGTACGAGTTCGTGTACAATAGAATACCGCATTCTTTCGGTTGAACACAATCCTATTACAATATTTAAACAAGTGTAAACATTTGTTTTGCAATTTCAATACATGAATACTTGTAGTTTCTTAACTAAGAAATTAGAATAACCGTCTAAGGCTATGGTTTATAATTGGTATTATTATAAGCTTAAGTCGTTATCAATTTGTATCGGAAAATATTATATATTATTACAGCTCACAGAAATGTTGGGTATTCTTCTGGATGGGTTTCCCAGCTATTACAAATTACTTGCATTTAAGGCACATATGCCAGCACCGCCACTGCTC